TTATATACATACACTTTAAAAGGTGATATAATAAAATATTTAGGTAACCCTTAAAAATCTTGTTTTTAAAAATAATGATTTGTGGACATGCTCTTGATATAATATAAAGTAGTAAAGACATTACACATTTCTGTGTAGTTTCCACTATTATAGATATTTACAATTTATAGTAAAGCCTGGAAAAACAAAACACATTAGAAAGATAACACTGATCTCCGGTATTACAGATTCAATATTCCTTGTATTTTTCTGTATTTTACACATTTTCAACACTGAATATGCATTACTTTTATAAGTAGAAGAAAAAATTATAAATATATTTAACAGACATACTTACTCTCGAGAGTTTAGAATTGAAGTAGTTAATTACTCTAGACTCAAAATAAGATGCAAAACCTTCATTGAGCCAGATATTGTTCCACCAACTCATGGTAACCAAGTTTCCAAACCACTTTTGAAGATGGAAGAAAAAAAAAGAGCTTTCTTAAATTTAAGGTATATTAATTGTAATTTCATCTTAAATATAAAGTCAAAGACATAATTAAACTTTATTTGGCATCAATAAAACAGAACTCCCAAAAGAATATTGTTGTTTTAACATGCACAGATATCAGTCATGCATTTCTCTGAAACAATTATTTCACATTCAATGACTGAAAGCAAATTTTGTTTTAAAACTGTGATGTTCAAAAATAACTTAAGCTAGAGTAGCCTTTCTTAAACTGTCCACTTTGCCCATAAGTTAAATAGAGCAGAAATTCTAAATGTTCACTTAATAACCTACTAATTACAGCATCTTATACTCTAAATAGACGACGTCAGGATTTTGCTGTAAACAGTTACTATGTTTTAAGAACATGATTTGATCTGTGCCACGTACAAATCACTCAAGTACTCATATGTCCTGCAAAAATGATTCAGCTATAATTATTTTCTATTTGAGTTTAACAAAAAGATAGTGTCAGATGATGAATAGAATCAAGAAAGAAAAACACGATAATTTCTAAAACCAACAAACCACACCCTTGTATTTAACCAAATTCTTATAACTGCCGTGATATACTAATAGTTAGCATCCTGATTTCCAAAACAATGTGCCACTTAGTCTATAATAAAAAACGACATTTTAGGTACAATCTAAACTTGTGAAATTATGTGTTGGCTGTGTAACAAGGTGTTATTCAATCCCAGTAAATCACTTTTTCCCAAAAATTCTTATGGATTCATACAACAAAAGATAACAATTTCATAGTTTCGATAATTTCTTTCTTAACAAGCTTGTATTAATGGAGTCGAGGTCAAAATGCATATGTGAGAATTTCCATCAAATTAATAGTCATAGTCATAGCTCTGCTTGGCTTATTTCTCCTGAAGAGGATTTTGTGGCGCAAAGTTAATCTTTAGATGTAAATAACTGATCCGTGAATGGACTGTAAGGTCTCATCACTATGATTCATCACCAATTATTCAAATCCACCCAAGATCAGATTATACAGACCCCTCCCTGTTTTTACTCACTGTCCCATTTTTTTAAATAATTTTCTAAAATTTGGTATGTGGCAGGGCTTTTCGTTGCTGTTGTTGTTACTTTTGGTAGAGCAGCTGGAGAACATCTTCATGTGAAATAAGAAAGAATATTTTACCACATGCCTGATGTCCAATCTCATGGGAGACAATGCAGGAGATCACTGTCTTTTTTTCTGTTAGTTGATCATCTGGTTGCAGCAATAATAATGATTCATCAAACATCAATAGTCCCCAATTTTCCATTGCACGGTCGTCAAAAGTAGGCAAGGCAATTACATCTAAGTGAATTTAAATGGAGGGAAAAATAGAATCTCTTCCCAAAATTTTGAAATTTCCAGATATAAATATCTCAAAGTTAAATCATATAATTACTGGAAAAAATATAAGTGAATATTTATAATCTGAGAGAAGAAAAGGCTTTAAAGACAAATACCAAAGACAGAATCCAGAAAATAAATTGGTTTGGCTATATAAAAATCAAATATTTTGATAAAGGACTTCTGTCCAAAATATACAAAGAACTCTTAAAAGTCAACAAGAAGCAAATAAACAACTTTATAAGTTTGTCAAAAGATTAAAACAGATGATTCACTAAAGAAGATATACAAATAGAAAGGAAGCATATGAAAAGATGCTCAACATCATAAGTCATTAGGAAACTGCAAATTAAAACAACAACTACACACTTTCTAGGATGGCTAAAATCAAAACACAACACCAAACACTGCAGAAGATCTGGGGCAACAGGAACTCTCATTCATTTCTGGTGGAAATGCAAAATGATACAGCCACTTTGGAAGACAGTTTAGTGGTTTCTGATAAGGCTAGACATAGGCTGACCATACAGTCTAGCAGTTGAGCTCCTAGGTAAAAACTTATGCCCATACAAACACTTGTACACAAATGTTTATTGCACCTTTATTTGTAATTGCCAAAAATGGGAACCAACCAAGATGTCCTTTGGTAGGTGAACGGATAAACTGTGGAACATCTGTACAATACAGTATTATTCAGTATTATTCAAGAAATGGCCTATCAAGCTATGAAAGATCATGGAGAAACCTTAAATGTGTATTACTAACTGAAAGAACCCAGTCTGAAAAAGCTACACCAAGATAATTCCAACTACACATTATTACGGAAAAGGCAAAAGAGCGGTGGTTTTCTGGGACGTGGGGAAGGAGGTAGGATGAATAGGTGGAGCACAGAGGACTTTATGATAGTGAAACTATTCTGTATGATAATGTAATGGTGTGTACATGCATTAAAAACTTGTCAAAACATAGAACTATATATATAACACAGAGTGAATCCCAATGTAAACTATGAGCTCTAGTTAATAATAATGTATCATATTGGTTCATCAATTACAATAAATGTACTCACTAATGCAAGACGTTAATAGCAGAAACTAGGGCCTGTGGCAGGGGGAGAAGACATATATGGGAACTCTTTTTAAAAAGTCTATTTAAAATTAAATATTTTAATTCACCAAAAGGCACTATAAACAAATTCGAAAGGCAAACCACGAACTAGGAAAAACATTTGCAACATATACTACAACTAGACAATATTTTTTCAGTAAAGAACTCTGGCAGATCAAAAAAATGTGAACAATTCACTAAAGGAATAATTCAAACAATAAAAAATCTTATTTAATATGTTCAACTTCATTGGTTATCAAAAAGAAAAAATTAAAACAATAACTTAATCTTTCAAATGTATGAGAAGCTCAATAATTAGTAGTGGTTAGTATTAGTATTAATAATTAGCCTTAATAATTATGTATAGGAAAACTGGCACATAGCCTGCTGGTAAGAGTATGAACTGGTACAATCTTTCTGGAGCAATCCAGCAAAATGATTCATAATCCTTAGAAATGCTCCTACCTTTTGACTAAATCATTCAACTTCTGGAATTTATACTAAGGCAAACAGCATGGATATGTGTAAACATTTCCTTACAAGGGTTTTCTTTAGTGTTTTGAAAGTAGCCCCCCAAAAAGTGGTCGAATCAGTCCAAATGTAATTAAATGAGTATCAAATAAATTATTTTGTCATATCGATATGTAGTTATTCTGTATCTTTAAAATGACAATAAAAAAGAATATTTAGTTATCTGGATTATGTTGCTGCATAGAAAAAAAAAGCCATTCAAAGAACAGTGTCAACTGTATGTTGTCATCTTGGTTAAAAACAAAACATCAAATACAGAGAAAGAAGAAATCCAGAGTAAGATAGACATTGAGACATATGCCAAATGTCAGCCATGGTTATGTATGTATGGTAGCATTACAGGACATTTGTCTTCTCTTTTTTGTGTGTACTTGGGTCGTTACATAGCCCCCATCAGTTAAAGAGACAAAGCTGCCTCAGCATAGGTTTCTCATTTTTCTACCCTTCCTTTTCCTCCATCCACTCCCATCCCACCCATGAATCTGTGTCAGAGGAACAAAATACATTTACATGATATCCTCAATTTAGAGAGAAAAATATTGAACAACTTTCTGAGCTTTGTTGCTCACGCAATTTTGAGATCTGTATAGATCTATGAGAGATAAAATGTTTACATATTTCCTCAAGGATCATATTATGTTCACACATGATTCCAATTTCATACAATGAAAATTCACAGATGGAACCCTTAAGTCCTAATCCAATGATTCATAGCTAAAGAATATCTGTTAAAAACCAGCAAAATCTTACTAAAGAGAACTGGAGTCACTCACGCAGGCCCGCTAAAAGGATCCAGAACATAGCACTGCACACTTGTGTTATGAGAGAAAAGGACAAAATGCAAGAGAGAAAGCGTCTGGAGGTATGGGGCAGCCGGTGAGTAACCAGGAGGGATCTAAATACTGAGAGCTCTCTGAACACCTGCTGGGCACATGGCACCACACGAAGAGCAGACAGGCCTCTATGTGTTAGGAACGGGATGGAACTGACTCCAAAGTAGCAGTTAAATGGCGACAATAAGTCTCTGGAGGTTCGTCTGGATACCCGTTGACCTCAACCTAGAGCCGCTATAATAGGAAATTGATTGCACTGGAAGGGAAGATGCCTTACCTGTTTTCGGAAGAGGGTAACTAATATTAAATAAATCTTCCAGAAAAGAGAAGGTGGGACCTGTGATGTTCAAAGCAAAGTCTGCATGTCCATTTGCTATGGCGTCTTTCCGGGCCCAGATTCGTATCTAAATCAAAACAATTAAGCAGTGATTAGGAAAAGCAGTAGTGATTTTCGAAAGTGGCAGCCTGCTTGCTCCAATTCTCTGATGCTCTAGAGCTAACGTCATACAAAGTTACATAACAAAATGACTAAATGCATTCACCTCCTGAGAAAAGCCCGGAAGGCTATTCACTAATTTGTGAACAATGGCTCCCCCAGACAGTGTGTTATTTCCATTTTTTGCAATAACGTGTTATAACTACTATAATACAAAAACAATCTGTGGCATTAAGACAGGAAGGCAACTTTCTGTTGTCTAGTCAGTGACAACAGGTAGGGTTGAAGAGACAGGAGCCAGCTGCTAATACTCAGATAAACTCCGCAAGGACACCTGCCCTAGGGAGACCGATCAACATTAAAGACCCCGGGTTGATAACCATAAGGATCTGCTTAGAGGGCTGAAAAACTTTCCCTTTGGCTCCACGTGTGCAATCAGGCCCAGAGGTGCCCGCGGTGTGACCTTTTCTTCATCTTAATACAAATGCCCTGGGTAGAGATTTAACACGCCAAAGAGACCTGCATGGTGTTAAGAAGCTTGTAGCCACACTGCGCAGATGCCAAGGAACCTTCACCTCTGCATGCCTAGACGAAGTTCTCTCCCCCCACTGCCTCCTTCTAAAATCCCTGCCTTGGCCACCCTCACCTGCACCCCCTCCACCTGTGAACGATGGGGATCTTTCCTTTTGGGTTGCTGGTTTCCTTGGGCACAAGCTCAATAAAACTTTTTCTTTGTCTACTTTGGCATCTGGTGATCTCCCTCAATTTCCATCTGGGGAAACTGTGAGAACCTGAGGCTCTAGTAACAGCACAGAAAATGTAGATTCTGTGTTAGAATAAAAGGATACCTTGGACCCTTGCTTCCCTGTTCTGCACGTATTTCCAATGTTCCAAACAGAATTGTGCAGTTAGTGAGTGTTATACAGTATGGTACATATTAAACAAATTTGAATCATGCCAATTTAAAATGGTTTGTTAATAAAAACATTAATAGTCTCATCTTATTTTCAAGATTTGAAATATGGTTAATTTCCCTAATTTAAAAAAAATTCATCAAAAGTCTTATAATTTCACAGTTGAAATAAGTGAACTATATGCTCTGTTTTTGATATTTCTACTTTGGTAGGTAAAAAGAAATTCTGCCATGCTTTGTTAGTCTAATATAACTGCATTGTTGTTTGGACACTTGGGAAACTTATTTGTGTGATTTGGGTGACTACCGTAATTTGCTCTTCTTTTAACATTTGTTATTATTTCGATATGAAATCATTTCATACTCCACAACAATACTATCTAAGCACTTTTTTAATGGAGTTGCTAGTGTTAATGCTAAAGAATATATATGTGAAACTCAATAACCCTGGAACGAAAGTTGGAGGGAGACAAAGGAATTAAAATAATTGTCCTGATGTGGGTACAGTTAATTTGATAAAGAGCTCTTTACAAAACATTAGAGAAAATGCTAAGAAAATGAAAAGCGGCACAATAACATTTGCAGACTGTTATACTCCAAGAACACGTTCACCTTACTTTGCTGAAATTTCTGCTGGAAAATTTGTCTTGAATTATGTGAGATCTTCAGGAAGGCTCCCCTTTCACAAAATGCAACCACCTGTTTTCGAAGCCTCCTGCCTTGATCCCTCATTCCTTTCATCCTCCTCCATGCTGCAGAGGTCTCATTACAACTGGGGAAGAGGGGCCCAGGACTCAGCCCTACCCCTACAATAAACTTACCCTCCCCAATTCTAGTTTTAATTTCTGAGGCAACAGAAATACTGCTAAACCAAATCCCACACTATGTGAGTGGAAAGAATAGTCACCTCTCCCCACATTCAAGATAATGAATGCATTTTAATTATAGCCTTTTGGAAAATAATGGCAATAACAATTAACATTTGTGTGTGAATTTTCAGTTTATAAAGTTCCTCCCATAAACTGCCATTCTATAAGCCAAAAGGCAAGCAAATGATGGAGATTTAAAGCTGCGTAGGAGAGGTGGGTGTCCCCTAGTAGGGCAGCAAGGAACATTTTGGAAATGTAGCCACAAAGTTCCTTCAAAATCACAAGCAGTCCAGCAGTGTGTTCTTACGGCCCTCCTGAGAAATAGCAGATCTTAACATAAAAGAGAGGAATATCTTTGCAGATGCCCATATGGGCTAAATTCTACTCAAAGAATGTTATTTCCGACCTTAGTTTAGTTTATTCTATGTTTATCCTCGTGCCATGCATTAACCACATTGTCAATTTCATGAAATTTTTATCTTACTTAATGAGCAATTTTTAATAGTCTGGATGCTTTTCCAAGAGTACATTCTGGTTCCCCTGTAGCGTATATGCTGGATTCCTTTACTTTGTAGATCCAAGCTTTAGCCAAATGCAACATTCCACTGATAAACTCATCCCAAATTTCAATTTTCTGGCTAACGACACTACTTTCTTAGGGATGTTCCATTTCCTCTTTGCTTGTATGAGAGCTGGCTTTCTTTGCAAGGTAATCTATCACAAAGAAACAGAGCCTTGTATAAGAATTGTTCACTGTGCAGCAGCATTGAGAGTAACAAGCCACTTGAGATGTGGATGCTGACGGACCACCTTGGGTCACTCATAAGCTCTGGGGCCCACTCCTTCATGCCAAGTACAAAGCATGTGCTTCTCAACCATGCTTGAGTAGATTTATCAGTAAATGTCATGAATGTTTGACTTGGCCAGTGTTATATCTGTGAATATCAAGGATCTACGAGCAATTATTCAATAAGGGAAATCATACTGAAGCCAACAGCTGAGGAAGGTAACCACCTGTTGTTTGCATCCAGTGCAGTATTTTTAATTCATCATTGGGTTAGGAGTGCAGGGGGAATCATTTTGAGTGACGCTTCCCCTGGTAACAAACTTGGCTCATCTGCAGCTACCTGGTTTTCACAAGTCAACGGTGGGAGCCTAAAGATCTTGGACCCAGGAGAGAGCCTCAGCCAGCTGTAGGGCCTGATTTTCCTCAGCCTTGTAAAGCTGATCTGACCTACAACACTGGCCTTACTTACTCCCACACTAGAAGAGAGAATGAACCAGAATATAAAGTACTGCCACAATAACCTCGATATTTTACTAAAGGATCAGTATGTACAACTGGGTGAAAACTATGTATTTCAGGACAGAGTATCTACTTTATACAACTCTGGGGAAGTGTTGCATGCCCCAGTGCTGAGGAAACCAGCAGCCTTACTTCTCAATAGGAATGGTATTTAACCTGCATGCATCATATCAGCCACAGCAGTTGTTCCCGACTGGTGTCTGTTTTGGCTGTTTGGCTCCCGTGCCATACTGCTTGCTAGACATTTTGAGTGTCACCTCAGCTTCAGGGCTGCATTAACATTGTAGGCTAGGTAAATAACAGGTAAACCTGAGCCTCAAAGCACCAGTATGGCAGCTTTCCCTATTCTTTCCAGTACTGTAAAAGGCAGCAATGCCTGGGGGAGAGGGGTCTCAGAAACTGCCTTGAGTGGAATTGATGCATGGCCTTCCATGAAAAGCCCTCCACAGAGCTAGAGTGGGAATTGTGTCCCATTCTGCAAAGCCGCACTAAGATCTTTAGTAGGGCTTCAGAAAAGTCAGCATGAGAACTAAGAGGTGCCAATGGGATATGTAGGTATAACCCTGGATGCAGAGAGTGGGTGAACAATCTGTAGCCAATACAAATGTACACTTAACTGGAGAATCCTCTTTACTTACCTCTTTGCCCCTTTCAGTTCTGTTGACATGGTCATAGTCACATATAGCAAATGCGACTAAATAAGTTGGCATGTAGGGTGTAGTGTAAAAAGTGGTAACAGTCCACTTGCTTCCACTCAAATCTTCTTTTTCAGATTGACCTAGAAAAATATATTTTAGTTCAAATCACTGAAAATATAGGCAATAATATCTACCTTTGAAATAATTTGTCAAGTTGATTGTCACCTGGCTACTTCTTCCTGACTACTCACCATAGTCTAGCAGTTCAGATTTTTCTACCCTTAAGCTATCAAAATCATATTAGGAAGATCTAAGGATAGCATTTTTGTCCTGAATTAGTATCTTAAGTAGTACGGTATGGCCTGAGAACCAAATCCATGAGCACTATAAGTTAGGCCCACGATCTGCCTCTTCTCTTTTCCATCCATTTCTACTGCTTCCCAGTCTACCCCATTTCTCACAGGACTTAATCTAGAGCTTCCCAGGCCCATGGTAGGTACAATTCTGCCAATATCACATTTCAGCTAGATCTTTAATGGAAGCAGGCTGGGGCCTTTAAACCTGAAATCATGGACTCAAATGCCTGTGAGGGCCAGGTACCTGATGTGAAATGGGCTGGTGTACACTACCCGAGACTGGTGAGGATCATGGAAGTCGGGCGCACAGGCCCAGTCTGCAGCAGGCAGCTCCTCCTCAGCTGTAACTATCGCTGTCGTGTAGAAACTGTAAGTCCAGTGTTATTACATCTTTTAAGTTTTCAAGGAAGTAATAATTTTGACTTTTATGAGAAATCTCTGAATTTTTAAAAGTTAGACACTACTTTAATCAAAAGAAAAGAGTCACGTGAGCCAAATAAAATGTTCTATGCACTAGGTCCACTAGCTTGTTATCACTTATGATCAACAGTTGAAGCCCAAACTAAAGGGCAGATGGGCTGCCAATGTATAAGAATAGTATAATGTCCCCAGATTCTAACAGGATTCAAGACATGGAAACAACCTTGGTGTCCTTTGAGGGCAACTGGATAAAGAAGATGTGGAATACTACTTAGCCATAAAAAATGAGGAAATATTGCCATTTGCTGCAACATGGTTGGATCTTGAGAGTATTATGCTAAGTGAAGTAAGTCAGATGGAAAAGGACAAGAACCATATGATTTCGCTCATATGTGGGATATAAAACAGAAAGCAACAAACAGATAAAACAAACAAACAAACAAACTCAGAGACACAAACAACAGCATGGTGGTTAAGAGGAGAAGGGAGGGTGAAGACGGTAAAGAGGGTCAAATATATGGTGAAAGAAGGAAACCAGACTTTGGATGGTGAGCACGCAGTATACAGATGATGAATTATAAAACTGTACACCTGAAACATGTCATTAACCAATGTCACCCCAATAAACATAATCAAAAAAGAAACAGGCTTAATCATCTCCAAGATGTGAGTACTGTCACATACTCAATGTGACTGCTCTCTCCAATTATAACACACGGCGATCCAACACATTGCCTACAAAAGCTACTGATTTAAAAGCTATTACAGAGTTAAATATAAACATATATCATTAATATATAAAAATACATATGTGAGATGACAGGAGACATTACTTACCTAGCTTTGGCATGTTGGAAAGGGCCACATAACTTGGATGATGAATAATTGTAATATTAAAAGTTGCCTTCAGAGCTGGTTCATCAAAACAAGGGAAAACATTCCTGGCAAATGTTGGTTCCATCTGAGATGCTAACAGGGCCCTAAAATACATTTTTGGGAAAAATCTATTTATTTTTATCTCAAACCAGTGGAAGAAAAAAATACTGAGGGATTATGGCTTATAATTATAAGGAAGAAGCTAGAATGTTTTCCCCTCATCTTCCTTGCTGCCCTCCCCATAACACACACACTCCACTTCTCATAAGACCTAAAATACAAAAGAACTATTTAATTTTCAACCACAAAATAATATTTACTTCATTACATCATATGCCTTTAAAACCTTTTACAAACAAAATAGGAACAAATATAACCAATAAGCAATGCCAGGCTTTTGAGAACCAAGTATATTTTCGAATAGAATTACTACTTTGGGAATGGCCTATTGCTTTCATCCTCTACCAAAGTGCAAGTCAGCTGAAGAATGTCTACATTTTTACCTTTTGCTAACATGTTCCCTCTTCTTCCTGGTTGAAAACTTTCCAAAAGTTTTATTTTGCACATTCTTAGGGGTAAAAGATGTGGGTATGTGCCAATTGAACAACTTTTATTTTACATATGGGTAGATTTTATCACATTTCTACTGCTCTTTCCCCCAATCTCTATGGAAAAGTACAAAAAGTGACATTATTCCACTGTGCACTGGTGATTAATAGGGAAAACTTAGGGAAAAGAGTACCCTGAGCAAACAAGAGTCTGACACAAGACAGGTCCTAGCAAACAACTTTCTCCTCAAAATAAACCTGCAGTCTTATTACCCCATTTTCCAAGACTCCCTGCCCTGGGAACCTGTTTTTAAATACAATTGTGGAAGCTAACTTCCTTCTTTCTCCTCAGGTCCTGGGACTTAATGTCTCTGATGCATTCATTCTTCCTTCGGGCCCAGTTCTTAGAAAAGTAAAAGGCAGATTCGACAAAGACATTTGGAGAGAGGATGGTCCATCTATTACCTACCTCTGTGAATCCCTCCTAGATCATGATAAGGCCCCTGCTCACATGAAAATTCACACAGCTTTAGGAAAGACAAACAGAACAGCTGGCACATTCATAAGCTTCTCACGATCAGCTAATTTTGATTTGTTCTTAACTTTGCTGTGACAAAACCACAATTTTCAACAAGCCTATTTTGCCCTGTTTCTTTTCCCACTTCATTATACTCTTGCTTGCTTGGACTGGAAGGGGGCCTGTGGCCTCTGACAACAGCCACTTCGTCTACCACCAATGAGAAATCCTGAACAAGTCACGCAGTCTTGCTGAGCCTCAGTTTCCCCATCTAAAAAATAATGACACTACCTTTTATGGATGTTTGAGCTTTCATATTATTAGTAACTAAATTTACCAATAAATGACCTTTAAATTCTCCTATATTCCTCTCAATGTCACAAATTGTTCTAAATTTAGATGAACTACAGAAGAATTCAAGGAGGAATAAGTTATAGCTTGGGATGAAAGGCTCGAAATCACTAATGACAAATGCATTTAAAAAGGTCCCAGAGATCACAGTTGACTATTAGCTGAATATGAACCACATTTGCCTCCCCCCATAAATTTTAAACTACCGGAACTACCAGAAGTTAGGGGTTAGGTGTTTTTTCTTCTGTATCATTTATAATACTTGCAAAAATATGGTTTCATAACAACTGAATAAGTATTTTCTCAGCTCTGCAGGTACTATAAATAAAGGCAGCTTGATATTAGCATACACAAAGAATAAAAGTATGTTTGCAAAGTTTGTTACATTGGCATTTGTTTTATAGCATTGGTTGTTATCTCTAAAAGGGATGAGATAGAGAAGATTCAAACAATTGACAATATTGTGGAAGGAACATTGAGCAGGGAATTCAGACTCCTGAGTTCTTGCTCAGGATGTGCAGTGTACACACAGTGGTGTAACTTTTGGGAAGGTGCTTGAACTCTTTGGGCATCTATTTCTATAAAATGCAGATATGGGACAAGATGAGCTCTAGAGCTCTAAAACTGATTCTAACAGGGTTAAAGACACCCAACAGGATGGAAAAAGAGCCCTTGAGGTGGCCATGACTAAGTTATCTAGGACTGGGAGAAACAGTCCTTTGAGAGTTCCTATGCGGCCTTAGGGGATCCATGAATCCTCTGATATTGTAGGATGTTTTGTATAAACAGCGATATATTAGCATGAAAAAGTATAATGTAGAATGAAAAAGCACACCCAATTATATAATATATATTTATATATTTAGAAAGCCAAAAATGCCTATTGTTTATGTAACAAAAATTATAGAAAGTAGAGCTTGATATCTTTTCTGCTGCCATATATCACAAAGCACATAAATAAATCTCAAGGAGATGGCAAAGTGAGGAGGAGGGAGAAAATCAGACTCTTCAAGAAAGAGGGAAAATTTTATGCTCATCGAAATGGGCTAGAGACACCAATTTAGAGAGTCATCACTTTAGCGAATCAAACATCAACAAGTGCCTTTCAATTCCATGATTCAGGTCTCCAGAGGAGCAAAACTAAAAAAAAAAAAAAAAAATCTCTTGGCTTTTACTGAACTATTTCTCTCCTTGGTTTTATACAAACAAACAAAATAGGAAAAATCCCTACAATAAACAGGCTTTCTGGCTCTCAATCTTAACTTCAAAGGTCAGGGCCAACTAGCAATACATACGATCTGGTTATGCCACATCTGGGGACCAAAGACTGGTATTTATTTCCCTTCTCTCTGCTTTGGACTTAAGCAACCTTGTAAGGATATCCTGACCTCAGAAAACAGAACCATCCACCACCCTCTCCTCCCTTCAGACCTCACTGAAACATGTTATTATGGTGCCCATGAAGTCTGGGTTTGGAGTGTTCAGCTGGTGAGGAAGTTAATTTGGCAGAATTTGTCTTCTAGTAGATCAGTATTGCAAAGCCACTTTCTTTCTTGCCCTCTTATACAGCCAGAGTAACATGGACTCACTACTCTCTTATGCTGGAAGAGGTCTTAGTGGTCAAGACCATGTGATGCCCTTGGGGATCAATCTACTACCTATAAAAAAATATCCACTCAGTAAGGTATTTCATTACAAATTATCTTATAAACTCCATATGCCTGCAGCTCTAGTTAACAAGTGCTACATAACATAGCTAGTCAAAGATTAAATAAGACTCTTTGGAGAGTTGTCCCCACTTTTTTTCACAATGCACTCAGAAATCAAAATGTTTAGTAAAGACAGATGTTATACTGCTAGACTGTGGTTCAAGAATTGGCCCATGAATCATGTTTGTTTATGACTTGTGTAATAGATCTTAAAACTGAAGTTTCTACCAGGCAACAAAACATAATAGACGTAAAATTCCAAAGAAAGGTGCCAAACCATGTTATGAAGATTTTCAAAATAAATGGTCTCAAGAACATGTAGGCTCCTCTTGCACTTCTTAGCTACATCAAGGACATAGAAGAAGGGTCAGAAATGGAGACAAAAGAGATCAGAGAAGAGATTTCTTGAGTGGGGCGGGGGTTAGCTCTCTAATCCTGAGCTAAGGAGAGAGCAGTAGACATGTTTTCCGAGACTGAGACTTAGAGGCTGGTGCCCAACTCACTCTTAAGAAAGTTGAAATTGACATTGGCCCAAGTCTAACTCCTACCAGGTAGGAATCTGAAAGGTAAGAGAACTGACTGATTTGGAGGCAGAACCAGAAGAGTGCTGCTGCCTTAGGACCCATGTCAGCTCCAGACAAGGGATGTATAAATGGGCCCTGAGACACAGGATGAGCCATAATGTGGACTGTCTTGGGTTCTGTCCAATATAGCCACCTGGAGAAACTTGGACATGCACTACACGATGTCTAAGGGCTGAAGAATGAGTCACAAGTGACCATCATGGTCACAAGTGACCATGAATGGAGAAATAAGAACATTTTGCAGGATCAAAGGAATTATAGAAGAAAGAGAAACAGTGAGAAAACTCTGAACAATCCAGCAAAATGACATCTCCAGGGAAAAAAGGCATCTGCTAGACCCAAGTGAGATTAAATGACAAGAACACTGGTTCAAGTAAGAACCACCCTATGTGTCACTTCTCCCTGTCTTCCCAAGTCCCACTGGACCCAGTGGGGTTGAAACCGCAGCTCAAGATAGAAGGAAGGGTAGGGCTAGAAATATGAGGTGGAGAAATGGAACAATCCTACCCCTTATCTTACCACAAGTTTCCATCCTGAAAGCCAGACCAAGCCTGGGGAAGAGAGGGGTGGACGAGGAGAGAGAGAGATTTAACAGTAAATTAAGTTCAAAGTTTTGACTATCACACAGGACTAGATTTTCTAATTTCTGCATCTGGGCAGTGTTTGTGACTTAGTGACCATAGATCACCTGTCACTTAAGACCGAGCAGGAAATTATGAACTTCTAGAGTAATCATGCAGAAGCAGAAAATATTACCCCAGAGACTAAATTTTAAAAGGAAAGTTGGAGAAATGCAGTGGCATTTTTACTGAACCATGAGGTGTGCTTTTTCAATAAGCTGGTTACACTGGTTTTCAAAAAATACAGGATCTAAATCTTTGACGAGCAGAACCGTCTCCCAGAGAAAACTGCTCAGCCACATGAAATGTGTGAGTTTAACACCTCTATAGGATAATGAAATGACCTCTTTTCTCTGTGACACCAATGACACCATATGCCTGGCACTTGAGTTCACTGACCTTGTTTTAAGACTTCTCATTTCTTTCCTAATGTTACTCAACTTTCTCTCTTGAGTGTCATACCCTGAGGACTGTGCCAGATTTTCGAGCATAAACAGTGACTGGAAGGAAGTCTTTAATTCTCTTTATGCTATTTCTACACCTGCATAATTGATTAATTTTAATTATGCTGTTTTCACCTTAATTTATACCAAATAAAGATCCCGATTTTCTCTAGCCATTTTACACAAACAAGCCGCTCCCATCTTTTGATTTTTTATTTTCATTTCTCTAAATACTTCCATATTCTTTCTTATCTTTTATGAAGGAAAGGCATGATCAGAAATGAGAGTATTCCTAAAGAACACTTTGAACAAGAATGGGATTATACCTTCTC